AGGAGGGAGTTATTTATATGTTTTCCTACTAAGTTGGGCATTAATATCAAAAGCAAACTAATGATGAAATTCTTGGAAATCTGATCATACCATTGTGTGACGTAAGTCTTTGAGATACAAATTATTATCATTGTTTTAATGATGATCAGTTCCACTTCTATAGGAAAACATAGGCTGGCTTCCTATGAAACAGCTAGTGGAATGCCTATGCCCTCAGTATGAGAGATAAGTGCTCTTCTACTGTCTTTAATTCTAATATTACCAGGTATTATAAGTCTTTTGGGTGTTACAAGAAAAACTAAGATTAGTTCAATTTAATGAAGTTTACTTGAACAACAACAACAAAAAAAGACTTCTAGAAATGTACCATATTACAGACTGAAGATGATTCAGAATTCCCTACCTCACCACATTTTGAAGGTTATATTTATAGCCAGAGAAAAGGAAGTGACATAAAAATGACGTTAGTAGGTGCAGTCACTATCTGCCTTATTTGGTCATGTTTGGGAAGCTTTTAGCCTCTGATTTTCAGTCTCTGACACAGCTGTTATGATTGATTGACTGAGTTACTTCTTTTCAATGGTGTACCTTTACATTAAACCACAGTTTGTAAACCTGGATGGGTGCCCACTGTGTACAGAGGCTTCTTGGGGCAAAACCTATTATTCAGGTACAGAAGCTAGGGAAAGTCAAATTTATTTCAGTTTTGTAATTCCTCCCTTTTGGTCATCCTCTCCGTCATGACAGATTGAGTAAAACCATGGTCCAAGGCAGTCATGACACCTTTGTAACCATCATAATGAATCTGCATGATCTCAGTACAAAATTTATAATTTTATAACACCAAATTAGTTATATGACTTTTAAGCTTTATATTTTTGATATTCCAATCACACTGAGATGTTTTTATGACTTTTGGGTAAGTACAGCACAATAACAGGAAACTAAAATATACTTTGTGAATAGGAGTCCCCATGAGTCAAACCAATCAAAACCAAACAATTCACGGTTCAGGAATTCACGATATACAATAGCATCTGAGTCCTCATAGTCCTTGTTTACATTATGATAATGTTCAAAAATCATAAAAAGGGTCTCAATCTAGAGAGTTACTCAGTTTTTCTGTTAGTCTGATGACCCACATCATAGTGATTTGCAAACACACTAAAGCAGTGGGATTAAGGTATCATGGAGGGGTCAGCGCTGCGGCATAGTAGGTAAAGCTGCTGCCTGCAGTGCGGGCATCCCATATGGGTGCCGGTTTGAGTCCCAGCTGCTCCACTTCTGATCTTGATCTCTGCTATGGCCTGGGAAAGAGTGGAAGATGGCCTAAGTGCTTGGGCCCCTGAACCCACATGGGAGACCTGGAGGAAACTCCTGGCTCCTGGCTTCAGATCAGCACAGATCCAGCCATTGTGGCCAACTGGGGAGTGAACCAGTGAATGGAAGACCTCTTTCCCTCTCCCTGCCTCTCCTTCTCTCCCTGTGTAACTCTAACTTTCAAATAAAATAAATAAATCTTTTAAAAAAAAAAAGGTATTATGGAACAGTCAGGCCTGCTACCCACCATTCACAATGCCAGCAAATCAGTTATTAGCTGTTCCCATGAAACATCATGTTCCTTTCATTTGAGTAACATTCTTAAAGTATTTAGTGACCATGTATACAGCTATGGTATTATCCACCACCTTTTTAATCAACTTTCAAGTAATATTTAAATGAAGCATAAGATAACTATAGCATTCTGTATTGGTCAATACCACATACAAGCCCCCAAATTCTGCAAAAAAAGATCAAAAGCTGCATGATACTCTGTGAGGTGTTTTTGCCGGATACCATTTGTTGAAGCGAGACCTCTACCCATCTGAATTCTTATGAGGGCTAATTAGCTATGTATTCCAGAATCTTTCCCAACCTACAGGTTACCTTTTGGTTCTAAACAACATGCACCCCAGTGCCATCAAGGATGAGTCCTAAAGAGCCCTACAAGAACCTTTCCTCATTGGAAACCAATTCATCCAAATCTACTTTAAAATGAGAACTAAGTCCAAGGATTGGCTTTTTTGGTCTCTGATTAACGGAAATATTCTGAAAACTTTTGAGAAAAGTTATTCAGAAGGCAAGAGGGAGCCAGGCCAGAGAGCAAAACCCCAAACAGTGAAGAGACAGAATAGGCAGATTCTCCATAAAGCCATGATAGAACATCAGGAACTGGAAAGAAGAACAACCCTGTGGCATTTGAGTAGGAGTCAGTCTTATCCACTTCCCCATAAACTGCATGCCTCCTGAATAAGGCACAAAGAAAAATTCCCTCTCTAGTGTATTCTATTACAGATAGATTGTAAGGGTGCATAGTCACATCTACCAGAAAAAATCCTACTGAATGTAATCCAGCGACATTAAACAAGCATTTGCTTATGCCTATATATGTGGTCCCAGGTCAGGAACACAGAATGCCTGAAAGCACAACATCACGTGCAGGGATCACCTGGACAAGTTTCCTTCATCTCTTCCAACTGGGAAGGTCATAGTATTATTCCCAGTGAGGTTAGGAAGACACAGAGTAGTGACATGTAAATACTAACTTTCCCTCTTCCTTTAGGATTTCAAGGTGTCTGTCAAGAGGAACATGGAGGAATATTGGCAATAATAAAAAAAGTTCCTCAATATTTTTGGCATAAGTTTCCAGAAACAACAAGCATCAATAAGTTAAGATTCCATAGATTCTCTTGTGAGGAAACATAAAGTTAACAGGACAGGAAATAAGAAAGAGGATGGGAAAATAAACCCTTCATGTTAGCAAAGAAATCTTGACCTTCCATCTTGGGACAGTCATTCATGTCCTGTGATCTCATTTGCTTTTGGGAAAATATTTCCCTGGTTCACTTCACCTTAAAAGTGTTCAACAGAAGTAAAGTTTCAAGAGTCTGGAGGGACCCTTTTTAGAACCAGTTCTTGGATTTTTTTTTTTTTTTTATTTTTTTGACAGGCAGAGTGGACAGTGAGAGAGAGAGACAGAGAGAAAGGTCTTCCTTTGCCGTTGGTTCACCCTCCAATGGCCGCCGCGGCCGGCGCGCTGCGGCCGGCGCACCGCGCTGATCCGATGGCAGGAGCCAGGAGCCAGGTGCTTTTCCTGGTCTCCCATGGGGTGCAGGGCCCAAGCACCTGGGCCATCCTCCACTGCACTCCCTGGCCACAGCAGAGGGCTGGCCTGGAAGAGGGGCAACCGGGACAGAATCCGGCACCCCGACCGGGACTAGAACCCGGTGTGCCGGCGCCGCTAGGCGGAGGATTAGCCTAGTGAGCCGCGGCGCCGGCAGTTCTTGGATTATTGAAGCTTTACCACAGTGTGAGGTGTTAAGAACTTGGAAGGATCCTTTCTATTAAGGTTCAAGGGCAGTCCTTCTCTGAGGTCACATCCAGAAGACACAGTCCACTGGTTCTGAATCAAGAAAAGTTTGCCCCAAACCCTTCCCAGCCTAGCTTTCCAGGCATGACTATTAACTGATCAAAGTTGAACCACGACAAGTAAATAATTACTTTTTCTGAGCTGTGGCATAGTAGGCTAAACTCCATCTGTGGTGCCGGCATCCCATATGAGCACTGGTTTGTGTCCTGAATGCTCTTCTTCTGATCCAGCTCTCTGCTTATGGCCCATGTGCCTATCCATGTGGGAGACCCAAAAGAAGCTCAGGGCTCCTAGCTTCAGGTCAGCCCAGCTCTGGCCATTGCAGATTTTTGGAAGTGAACCATCAAATGGAAGACCTCCCTCTCTCTGTCCCCTTCTCTGTAACTCTACCTTTCAAATAAATAAAAGCTTTTTCAAAAATTTCATTTTCTGTGTCTACCTTTGTGATTCTTACATAAATAAATAATTCTACACACAACTCTAAACAGTGTCACTTGTCCAGTTAATTTTAGTGAGTTTTTTCCAATGACAACAACACTGGTGAATAATCTGTACTGATGTTTGCAATTCTAAAAGTCCAACTTGATTCATGGCTTCAATGTCGCACATGATCCATCATCAGAACAAGTTTCAAAACTTCAACTTTAAAGGCACAGACATGTATTAGAGAAATCTGAGAGAGCAGCATTATTGAATTCTGGCCTTATCCTGTGAGGCACAGAATCCAGTAACTTCTACTCTTACACATTCTTTATAGGTTCTCAAGGTTTTAGCTAGAATTTGTAATCTGCAAGTGAATAGAACAAATTACTAAAGTAAACCAAATTTCCTATTCATTCTAGACTGCCTAGGATTAGCTAAATTTCTGGCTTTGTAATCATAACACTTTATCCCTGAAAAAAAGACATGTATTTTTAGATGTCATCATTGAAAGAATTCTCAAATTTAGGGTATATTCTCTTTGTGAGATAATTTGAAAATAAGTGTGATAGGATATTAAATTCGATGTGTCTTCCTTTGTCTTTGTTTTTCTTTGGTTTGCTTTCTCCACCCTGCCATCTTCATTTCATTTTTTTTTTTTTTTGGACAGGCAGAGTTAGACAGTGAGAGAGAGAGACAGAGAGAAAGGTCTTCCTTCTGTTATTTCACTCCCCTAATGGCCGCTACAGCCGGCACTGCACCAATCCGAAGCCAGGAACCGGGTGCTTCTTCTCAGTCTCCCCTGTGGGTGCAGGGACCAAAGCAAACCCAAACACTTGGGCCATCCTCTGCTGCCGCCCCGGGCCACAGCAGGGAGCTGGACTGGAAGCGGAGCAACCTGGACTAGTACCCGGCACCCCAACCGGGACTAGAACCCGGGGTGCTGGTGCCACAGGCGGAGGATTAGCCAAGTGAGCCACAGCACCGGCCCTGTCATCCTCATTTCAACAAAGTCTGAGAATATAACTGATTCCGTATCTACACAAAATAAAGCAAAGTAATGGACTAATCTTTCATTCATTCATATGTTCCACATATATCCATTGAGAGATTACTACTCTCCAAACCAAAATATATATAAAATGTTATGCATTTTGATATACAAATGTACCTGCATTATTGGTGCTTTATTTCCAGTGGATACCCGACGACTTGGGGAAGACAGTTCTTCAGTCATTAACCTCCAATTATTTAAGAGATGGCTAAGAAAACACAAAGAACACAAAGAGGCTGATAATGGGAATTTAGAGACTGATGTTAGACAGTTGTCACTTCCCTCTCTCACTCACAGGAGGGAAGGTTAAGATCTTTCTCACCTCACATGCTTTGAGTAGGATCTCAGTAAAACCCCTTATGCATTTTCTGGAATTTTATGGGCATAAGAGCAATTTACCTGGCCCATGACTGAATAAAAAAAGCAGAGGTAATGTAGCTAGAGCTGCCTACAGAAGAAAAAGAAAGCTCTATCATTGTAAGTAACACATCCACTGAAAACTGAGCAGAGTGTTTCCATGGACCACATGCAAACCCTGTGGAATGGTGCTGGCTGATGGTCATTAATTAGCTGGCTAGGGGTTCCACCAGAAGCTCCTGCCAAGACTGAGGCAGCCTCCATAACGAGAGGATAAGGATGTGCATAGGTGCTGGAGCACAGTGCAGAGATGAAGCCAGACACATGGAAGCAGCAGCATCCCTGCCAGGAACTAAAGAGGAAAGTGTCCAGGGAACCCCTAAACTGAAGGAAGCGTCCCTGGACAACAAGGGGGACAAGGAGCCGGGGGTTCTACCATGCCCAGATGGCAGCATCATCAGATCAGAACCTCAGGTGCAGAAGGAATTTTCTCCCTTTACTTTTTCCTCTCCTACTTCAAGATGAAACAGCAACTAGTAAATGGAGAAAGCAGTGAGACAAGACTAGCCAGCTCAAGAATCTCTCCACAAATCCATTCTCAGTCTCTTGAGTCTGAAACTGCCCTCAACTGGGGAAAGGAAATATAAATCAGATGACATTTTTAACTTAGGAGAAGCTTCTGTACTTTAATTTTCATCAGTTAATGAGACAGAAAAGCCCTGGGACCTGACAGATTTTATCCCAGGAGCTGGGAATAAGCAGTGCAGGAAATAGGTGAAAAAGAATGAATTAAAGTCATTTTCTGTTTAAAATTCAATAAACCAGTTAAATAAGCTTAGCTTGTAATGAGGAAGAAATCCACAGTTAGGAAAATCTGTGAATCAGTCTTACTAGGAGAACAAGGTGACATAACTGGAATCTTTTGGCATAAAAAGCAAAGCTACAAAGCCTCCTTGACTATTTCAAAATGACTGACGACAACAGATTAGGGATAGATGGAAAAATACGAATGTGTCCCCCACTATTGGGCATCTTCTGCAGATTTCTTCAAATTGCTCTGATTATTTCTGAAATCTTAGTACTGGGAGATTTTGACTGTGACCTAAGCACTCTCAGGTGAGTAACTGTTCAATTTTTTCTGATACTGAGTTTGAGTATACAGCCTGCTAAAATTGTCAACAGTGAGGATTGCAAGATGGTGGATTAGGGGATGACATACTGTGCTAGGCTAGGGATAAATAGTAAAAATAATAATAATAATAATAATAATAATAATAATAAATAAATCAAGTACAAAGTGCACTCTCAGAGGAAAACTGGAGAGAAAACTGCACTGGAAATCCTACAAGAGGAAGAGGAATGCTGTAGACCTATGTGGAGGGCGGCTACGTACAGAACAAACACGAACACAACACACGACAGCAGCAGCTGAGAGCTGGAGCAGGTAGCAGCTTGGAGATGGAGGTGAGACCAGATGGCAGCAACCCGTGGTAATACAGCCATCAGGAGAAAGTGGACTGAGTTTGGACTGGAGCCCTGGAGGCTAGCATTTCTAGCAGTTTACTGGGGGCCCAATGGATGGGGCAAGTCTATCTCATACCAACTTCACCATAACAGCACCTGCTGCCTGGCTGAGAAAGGGTGGGCGCCATTTTGGGTTTGGGTGGGAGATGCAGAAGACTTTGTGGGTGAGCACAGCAACTGACTAAGACAGGATACCATCTTCTCAGCAGTACTAACAGCAGTGGCAGGGAGAGAGCAACATTCAGACAGCAGCTCTTGTGTACATGTGTGATCCAGAGATTCTAGTGAAGTTGGGGGGGGGGTGAGGGGAAAATATACAATCCCCACTGACTTTGAGGCTGGCTGGGAGTTGACCGGGCAGCCACATAGGACTGTAAGGTTCCCCCTGCCACCCAGGATCAAGATGTCTTGGCAGAGATGGCTCAGGAAACAACTGCCCCTCTGTTGACTAGAAAGGCTGGCAGGACAGAATCAAACCTCTGCATGCAGCAACTGTGGGAGCCTCATGTGCTTAGGGACTCGGTGGTTACAAGAGAAAGTGCAGGGTGTAGCTGGGTCTCTGGGCAATCACTAGGAGCAGCTCCACATGCTCGGAGGTCATTGGTAGCCTGGCAGGTCATTGCAGTGGGAACTGTGCTTACAGTGAGCACGGCACAGATCATTTGTGTGGTTCATAGGGTGGCGTAGTTAAGTGTTGAACACATGAGGGCACTGCTTAGCTTGGAGGAGAGGAGGTAAGGAGGTGATCATATCTAAAGTGGTGACCATCCCCACTTCTGTTAACAAGAAGAGATCTACCATGCCCAAATTGTGTGTTACCTGGATACCCCACAGTCTTGAGAAATGACCAGAACTCCCTGGCTACACCCACCACACACCTCTTGATATTCACTGAAAGTGCAGACGTTCCACTAAGCTACAGAGGCATAGCTTAAAGATAAAAGCCATCAGAGGGAAAAACAACAATCAACTCTTAAAAAGCCTTAAAAAAAAGACATAAATTCAAGAAACAGGAAAAAGGAAGGCACCATGACCCCACAAATGAACACAACAACACTTCAATATTAGAATGTGAAGATGAAGAGACTGAAGAAATGCCAGAAATGAATTTCAAGGGGATTTCCAGCAAGATGGCAGAATAGGAAGGGAGCACACTGATAGTCCGGGAAGAGACAGTTTAATAAAAGTGGAGATACTGCAGGTTCAAGGAAGAGTTGAGGAAGAAACAGCAGAGGAAACTCTTCCAGAACTAGTGATTCACGGTGGACCTGCATGGAGGGAGTGGGAGTCCACAGCTCGGGACAACAGCGGGGGAATCTACGCACCAGCGCTGGAATGCGAGGTGAGCCGAACCTCAATAGCCCGAGACACTGGCGGGAAAGCAGAAGGAGCAGCCTAGAGGGAACAAGGCTTGAAGCCCTGTGGGGGAAGGTTCACCAGGCTACCTAGAGGAGAGAGGAAAAAAAAAAAGGGGGACCACTATGAACACGAGTTTCTCTCTCTCCGCTCACCTCTCAAAGGCGAGCAAGACAAAGAGCAGGCACCATTTTGATCATACATAAAAGCTGCGTGACCTCAGGCCTGTGCCCACCCACAGCCAAGCAGAAAACCCTGACTCTGGGGGGGGGGGGGGGAATAACAGGAGATTAGGACCTAGTGAATGTGTGGAGCTAATGAATTGAGATTATGAAAAAAGAGACAGTGGGTGAGAGAACTGAGTACTCTCCAGAGACGCTACAATTTGGTAACATTAGCAACCCAGTGAGAGACTGCAGGAGAATTTGAGCCCACACGGAAGGCACCACAGATTCCCTGTGTGGTCCTTGGAAAAGAGCAGGCGAATGTTATAACCACAGGAGCCAGAGATCGGAAGCTAACTACCTTCAATTCCACTCAGCTGTGTGGAATTACTTCCCTTCTGAATCAAAAAAAAAAAAAAAAAGAAAAGAAAAGAAAAGAAAAGAAAAGAAAAGAAAAGAAAAGAAAAGAAAAGAAAGAGAGAGATTTACTACACTTAACCTGGGAATGTCACCTTTGGCACACCCTTAACCCTGAAGAACCAAATAGAGCTCTCAGGCCACACCCATCTCAAGCCTCTAAGGCTCCATCAAAAATGGACAGTCCATTTAATACAGTAATAGTATAAAGAGAAAAAAAAAACACAGTGAGGGAAGAAGAATCCAAAGAATATCTCCACAATGCCAAGCAACAAACGCAGAAACCGAGTAAACAAGAACAAGGGAGACATTATGATGTCCCCGAATGAACAAGACACCCCAAGCCAAGATTATGAAGATGATGAGATGGAAGAAACACAAGATACAGATTTCAAAAAACTTATAAGAACATTTAGAAGTTTTCAAAAACAAATGCTTGAGCTACATAAATCCTTATTGGACAGGATAGAAAATCTCTTTCATGAAAATGAAATCTTAAGGAGTAATCAAAATGAAATGCAGAAACTAGTAGAACAGAAAAGTGTGATAGTGAAAAGAAATCAAAATGAAATGAAGAACTCAATAGATCAAATGAAAAACACATTAGAGAGCCTTAAAAACAAAGTCATTGAAGCAAAAAGAGAATATCGGACTTAGAAGACAGAGCACAAGAAAGTATACAGTCAAACAAAAGAAAAGAAGAGGAAATTAGAAATCTAAAAAATATTGTTGGGAATCTACAGGATACTATTGAAAAAAACCAACATTCGGATTCTAGGAGTTCCTGAATGCATGGAGAGAGAGAGAGAGGATTAGAAGGCCTTTTTAGTGAGAAACTTGCAGAGAACTTCCCAGGTTTGGAGAAGGACAGAGACATCCTAGAACAGGAAGCTCATAGAACCCCTAATAAACATGACCAAAAGAGATCTTCACCACAACACACTGTAATCAAACTCACCACAGTGAAACACAAAGAAAAGATTCTAAAATGTGCAAGAGACAAACGTCAGATTACTCTCAGAGGATCTCCAATTAGACTCACAGCTGACTTCTCATCAGAAACCCTACAGTCTAGAAGGGAATGGCAGGACATAGCCCAGGTACTAAGAGAGAAAAACTGCCAGCCCAGAATATTACATCCTGCAAAGCTCTCATTTGTGAATGAAGGTGAAATAAAGGAGAGTTAAGAGACAACCGACAGAATGGGAAAAAATATTTGCAAACTATGCAACAGATAAAGGGTTAATAACCAGAATCTACAATGAGATCAAGAAACTCCACAACAACAAAACAAACAACCCACTTAACAGATGGGCCAAGGACCTCAGTAGACATTTTTCAAAAGAGGAAATCCAAATGGCCAACAGACACATGAAAAAATGTTCAAGAT